GCTTTGGCGTTCACTGAAGAAACGTGCTCTACCAACCCTTTTTTCACCTTGTTTAACTTGATTGTGTGCGCCAGAAGAACGCAACGGGGATTTTGACTACAATCGTTGAACTTCCATACTTCCTGACCTTGCCCGTCGAAGGTTCCGCTCCCAGTGATCGTTAGATCGTTGATGGATTCGAACAGAATCCAATCCGGACCAGAATATTCAGAAATATCCGTTGTAGCTTTGACGGTTCCCTGAATCTCGACGGTCATRGGCGAGGCGGTGCATGGCCCGGCGAATACCACTGGTCCGATAAGAAACGTCCCCGCCGGGAAAAGCAACGTTGTTGGTCCAGTTGAACGACATGCTTCAACCCACGCCTTCATGAATGCCTGAATTAAGTAAACCTCCGTTAAACCTTAAACTTTTGGGTTGAGTGATGTTTATCCATCGCTAACATATTGTAAACAATTATCTTACCTGTGTGCTAACTTTCTTGCCATCAGGTATGGCACCATGGACTTTAACATCGATAACCTTCCCGCCCGAGGCGGCCCCAGCAGGAGCGGCTCCGACAGGAGCGGCCCCGACAGGAGTAGCCCCAGCCGCTGCAGGAGCGAGTCCAGCCTTAGCGGCCCCAGCAGGAGCGGCGTCAGGAGCGGCCCCAACAGGAGCGGCGTCAGGAGCGGCCCCAGCCTTAGCAGCTTCAGGAGCAGCTCCAGTCTTATTGTCCCCAGCGGGAGYGGCTTCAGGAGCGGCCCCAGCCTTAGCCGGAGCAGCCGGTGCAGCCGCGGCGAGGGAACGACCACGACCGTTGGAGAAGTCACCAAAAAAGTTGGGTGCAACGGCAGAGCTGCACCAGGCCATACAGGAGAGACATGCCATGCCTAAAATTATTAACCGACGGGCGGCGGCGGCGGCGTGAAATCTCTCCGGGATGGCCATAATGGACGGTGACTTGACTTTTATTAACCCACCAGATTGAGTTTTTTTTTTGTTTTTTTATTTTATTTGTGAGAAATTAGACTGCTGACTTCGAAATTTATAGTGCTGTGAAAACCCATAACCTAATCCGCCATATTTGGCTATATTATTTCCCCACCACAATCTATGTTTAGAAAGCTTTCAATTTTGGAGTCTTTTTTGCTCTCAAATTTTTCGTTTTGTTCAAGTCTCTTACATGGACGAATGAGCTGAATTTTATGTTAGACTTAGACTGTTGCTTTCAGGTATTCAATATTTTTTGTTGGACATAGAGAATTGAAATTTTCATTGAAATTTTCACAGTATAGCGCAAAATAAACTAACAAAATATTGACAGCATTTCACTAAATATAATGATTCTAACATTTTCATAAAATTGAGACGACATTTCCTTCACGTTGACATTTAAAATTTTGATTGGTTCTCTTTTTTCTTTTTTTTTTTTGCCACCAAAAACACGAGAAGTTAGGTATCGGAGTAATGCCGATATTTTATAAGCTCATGTTGACAAATATCTTATTTTGTCTCATAGTGAACTTTATACTATAGATATCGAGTCATTAATAAATTATGAGGTACATGATGTTGATTCATTTAACAATTTTGAGAGAAGAAAGAGGTTGGAGAATATTATTTCAGTCATGAAGGGCTCGTTTGGTAACATTCCCGTTTCTTGTTTCTCGTTTCCAATTTTGTTAAGAAATCTAAGTATTTTTCAACTAATTTTGTTTCTTGTTTTTCCTTTTTTGGGAACATTTTCATAATTGTATAGAAATTATGGAAACAACTAAAACTAGTTTCTCCTCCTGATTCCTATTTCCAATTTGTTCCAAAACATAAATAAAAATATTGTTTTATCATATTTGAATTCTTAGAGGTTGGAACCATGCACTACATTTTTCTTCATTAAAAATAAAGAAACAGGAACATTACCAAACGAAGCAAAGAGACCCTTTTTTTCAACAGAAGAGATATCATGAGTATTTCCTTTGGATTGAAAGGACCACAAACAAAAGAGGATGTATTGCTGAAATTTATCGCGTTGATGAAAGGGTCGTGAATCAGTAGTACTTGGTTCTTGACATTTCAAACCCAACACAATCCAATCAATAATTTATCTAAGTCCATCCCAACCATTACGTTTGATATTAGCGGTTCTTTTGTCACCAAATTTTTAGAATCACTCTAAATACAACAGATTTAATATTCAAATGAAAATGTTCATATACAACAACTAATTTTAGGGGAGGTTTAGTCTAGGGATGGCAACGGGTCGGGACCGGGATCGGGGAGCCATCCCCATCCCCACCCCCGTCCCGAAATTTTGGAGGCGGGGACGGGGTGGGATTCCTCGATCAGGGATGGGTTCCCCACGGAGAACCCGTCCCCGATTTTATTATTTTTATTTTATTTTTTTAAAATAATTAATAAATATTTTAATTCTTTAGAAAATATATACTTTTTTATGGAATAATGTAAAATTTCATCAAATAAAATGCAAAGTAAAAAACTATTTATAAAAAATAATATATATTAATACTATTTTATATACATGATATAAATTTTAATAAAATATTAAACGAGGACGGGGCGGGGAGCCTCCTTCCATTCCAGCCAGAGACCCCGATTAGGATCCCCGGTTTGACCCCGTCCCCGGTCAAACTGGGGATTCCTTGACCCAATCGGGTCCTGCGGGTTTTTTTTACAATACAAAAGAGGATGTATTGCTGAAATTTATCGCGTTGATGAAAAGGGTCGTGAATGCTGCATAATGATCCGTGATGGATATTAGTAGTACTTTATATAACTACTAACTAGTAAGAAATATGTGTGTTGTACATGAAATTTATAGTTTTATTTTAAAGTGAAAAGAAAAGGTTAGAAAATAAGAAATTAGTAAACATAATAAAGGATCAACATCAACAAGTCCAGAACGCCTAACCTATCAAGATCAATAAGTCCAAAGGTTGATCAAGATCAACCAGCCGCCAAGTGTTCGATCATGATCAACAAGTCTAGAGACCGATCAAGATCAACATCAAGCCAGAGGTCGATCAAGATCATCATCAAACCAGAGTCCAATCAAGATCAACATCAAGCCAGGGGCCGACCAAGATCAACATCAAGCTAGAGGCCGATCAAGATCATCATCAAGCCGGAGGGCGGTGAAGATCATCATCAAGTCAGAGGCAGTCAAGATCAACACACAGTCAAGAGGCTGATCAAGATCAACAAGTCCAGAGCGTCGATCAAGATCAACAAGCCATGTCGAGAAGGCCGATCAAGATGAACAAGCCAACAAGATGTCGTTCAAGATCAACCACCTAAGAATTCAAGGGAAAGAATCAGACGATAAATATTAGAGATTGTATGAACCCCAAATATCAATACAAATTTAGTTCACGAAATATAATTTCTCCTAAAATAACGTGTAAACCATTTTAAAAAGTCAATTATACTTCAATCTCTCTTAAAAAAAAATTGCTCATTCTACCATCACTCTCAACCACACCCTTTTGTCATAGTCAAAATCACTTTTCTTTCCATTGATCATGTTTGACAAATAAAAAATATGATTTTAGGAAAGTTTAAAATCATTTTAAATTGATTTTTAAGGTATCAATTAGATGGTGATTTTGAAAAATAAATTATTCTTAAATCTCTTTTTTTTTTAAATCACTCATCATAGTATCACTCCTCGACACGAGAGAAAATTTTTCAGAGAGGAAAAATAAAAGAAAAAGAGAGATGAGGAAGTACCGTCAATAGTGAGAGTGCTTAAATTAAAAGCGCCCAACCAGTGAAGGTGAAGAATTCTAACTCATGGCCACTTAATAAAACAATGTCAACCACCGCTAAGCTCATGCTGGCAAATATCTTATTGGCTCTCATAGTGAATTTTATACTATGGATATCGAGTGATTGATAAATTACGTGGTACATGGTGTTGATTGATTTAACAATTTTGAAAGAAGAAAGAGGCAGGAGATCATTCGATTATAAATAGCCTTTTCTTTTCATTTTGGAATATACATAGAACCTAATTTCATAAATGTTGCACTTTTAAAATATTTAAAACATTGAAAACATTGACAATTTATCGCTGGAAATATAATATTAATGATAAGATTTTTTAACTTATTTAACCACAATGGTTTGTTCATTTAAATATCTTTTATCAATTTTTATCCATTTTTTTTATTTTTCTAGACATATCCATTAACATAAACATAGATAAATAATTTCTATCTATTGAGAACTCAAACATTTTATTTGATGTTGACATTTTAAATTTTGATTGGCAGTACTTGGTATAATAATTACCCGCCACATGTTGTACAGATCAAATTAATTTTTATTTCTTAAATATCAACAAGTAAAGGTAGGGAGATTCGAATTGATTAATAAATGACCAAATACGTGGTGGTGATTCATTTAATAATTTTGAAAGAAGAAAGAGATAGGAGAATATTCTTTCAATTTTGATATTCATAAATAGGCTCTTTTTTTTCAATTTTGGAATATCAATAGCACTTAATTTCATAAATGTTCATTCGAAAAATATTTCAAAAAGTTTATTAACCTTTGAAATATATAGAACCTAATTTTGTAATAAATATGGATCCTAATCGGGTTTTAATGACGAGTACTACTCGTTATTGAATGGAAATGATGTCTGTTGATGCTTGGATTCTGGTAGACCGGTTCACTCCACCTCGTGCACCAAACTCGAATATCAAGGGACCGGATACCTGCAAAACCGAATAACCCTAATCCGGTGTGACTTCTGTCACTGGCCCTAGGATTTCACAAGATGTCAACCCTAGGTTTGACACTCGTGGGCTTATGGGCTGGGATGCCTCCAGCATCAGTAGAGGAACAGGGACAGGGCTCGACTTTGGGCCTGAACATCATATAACTGGAACTAGGACTAAGAGAGAGAGAAAGGAGAGCACCGAGGGCCTTCTCAACCTAAGGCCAAAAACGAATTATATGTCCCTCATTATATTTATGTTTGTTTTTAATGGTGGGAAATGCCCATCATTATTTGGGTAATAATTTAATATAAAAAATATTGGTTGCTCACATGGACTAACCAAACAATCTTTCCTCATTTCTCAACCTATGCACAAATCTCAACCGTCTTTAAAAAAAATAAAAGTACTCACCCAAAACAAGTGTGTACTTGTAAAGAGTAAGCTTCTTCTTTATATAATAATTAAATAAATATAGAAAATAAAGATTCAATATTCATTCATCAAACATAACTAAAAAGAATGTCAAAATTTCAGTCTCTATTAAAATATCGTAAACCACACTTGAAATATAGTAACATGCAATATTATACATACATACATAATATGCATAAAAGCTTCTCTATAGATAACTAACAAATTTTCCTCCTTTTCTCCGCCTGTACACAAATCCCAATAGTCTTTTAAAAAAATATGCCTAGTATGTACTCAAAACTATATTTAACAACATCTAACATTTTTAATTACAATGAGACCATCCATCCGTCCACAAAAACTACATTAAGATCTTAATATCCGAAGCGTTTTTGTAGCTTTTAGGATATGTAGAAAGTGACAAGTGTGCTTGATGAATTTTTTCAGCTTGTATTTTCTTAGAAGTTGTTGCTAATTGAGGATCCAATGTTGGATTTGCTGCGAATTTTCCTCTTGTAATCATTTGATGAATTGGAGGATTTGGTTGTTTTGAATTGACTTTCTCTCGAATCCCTGCAGGTAAATGTGGTAATTCAATCGTTAGTTGATCACTAATATCAGGAAGTAAAGAAGAATTTTGAATTATAGTAGGTTGTTAAGGGTTTGAGATGAAATATTCTGCTGCTATCACAACTTCTGCTTCACAAGAAGAGGGCACTAGCATTGATGTTGGATGATTTTCATCTCCTTCATATCTCTCGGTATGGTCGCTGGAGGTAGAGCTGATTTCCATTTGAGAGTGTTTTTCTCCATCGATTTCTATATGGTCAATATCATCATGGGTTGTATTGCCACTTGGATTTGATTGTCCTTCCTCAATGGTAGGTGCATGACCATTTTTTGTTTTAGCAGCATTGATAGGAATTGAGGATCCTTCCTCAATACCAGCTTTATGAATGTTGACCGGAGTTGAAAAGATATCGTCAACACTAAGTTGGTGAGAATTATGATCCTCATTGTCTTGCTCCGTGGAAGCTCTATTTGTTGTCTGTGTAAGTTCATCGCAACACAGCTTGCTTGTTCTTTTTCTGACATTGGCTTTGTTGGTGTCAATTGAGGCACATATGCACTTGTGGTCCAATCTCCTACACCTGCAAAAACACTCACTCCAATCTCCTAGCGCGTTTTTAACCTTGTCAAACATTGGTTTCATCCGAATTTTTTTTTTTCTGACATTAAAAAGGCAAATTTGTTGTATTGACAAATCTGAAAGAATGTGAGCTATATAAATGAATGTTTCAAAATTAAACAGCACAAGCTGGTGGGATTTGTTTTCCTACGGTTGTAATCTTGGCATTCAAACATGAATTTC